AATTTTTCTGTCATCTACCTTCTGCGTCACTATCGTCATTTTTCTGTCATCTATGATCTTCGTCTTGATTGATGATTCGCGTTGTCAGTTTTTGTCATTCCATCTTGGACTATCTGTTGTTCTAGCCAGTGTTGGATCAACTTTGCTACTCGGAGGAACCGACATTGAGATTATACTACAATTGTGTGACTTCGTTCATACGAGAGCATTGAATGGTATCGTATTTTTTCTGTCATCTACCTTCTGCGTCAGTATCGTCATTTTTCTGTCATCTATCATCTTCGTCTTGATTGGTAATTCGCGTTGTCGATTTTTTGTCATTCCATCTTGGACTATTTGTTGTTCTTGCTATTTCTGGATCAACTTTGCTACTCGGAGGAACCGACGTAGAGATTATACTAAAGTTGTGTGACTTTGTTCATACGAGAGCATTGAATGGTATCATAATTTTTTTGTCATCTATCATCTTCGTCTTGATTGGTGATTCGTCGTTGTCAGTTTTTTGTCATTCCATCTTGGACTATCTGTCGTTTTGACTATTGCTGGATCAACTTTGCCAGTCGGAGGAACCGACGTAGAGATTATACTGCAGTTGTGCGACTTCGTTCATACGAGAGCATTGAATGGTATCATAATTTTTCTGTTATCTACCTTCTGCGTCAGTATCGTCATTTTTCTGTCATCTATCATCTTCGTCATAATTGGTGATTCGCGTTGTCTGTTTTTTGTCATTCCATCTTGGACTATCTGTTGTTCTCGCTATTGCTGGATCAACTTTGCTACTCGGAGGAACCGACGTAAAGATTATACTACAGTTGTGTGGACGAGAGCATTGAATGGTATCGTAATTTTTATGTCATCTACCTTTTGCGTCAGTATCGTCATTTTTCGGTCATCTATCATCTTCGTCTTGATTGGTGGTTCGCGTTGTCAGTTTTTGGTCATTCCATCTTGGACTATCTGTTGTTCTGGCTATTGCTGGATCAACACGGCCCACTATTGCTATGTTAGCACGATCCTGGCCTGTTTTACGACCAGCTTCATCCTCGGGTGGACCCTGAAGTAAAGAATATCCCCCAATGCCTCCCCTCCCCTGTCAACCCCCGCCTTCCCGGGGCCTGTGCTGCCCTAAGGGCTCGGCAAAGGCCGCGGCCCACCCATTCTATATTAGCACGATCCTGGCCTGCCTTACGACCACATTCATTTTCCGGTAGGCCCTCAAGTCCGCTGGCGTCCTCGTCAGGATGGCCGGGACGGATGTCCATATCCCTGACGTAGGATCGAAAAAGAACGTCGGGCAATCTACCCCACGACCGTGGCGCGCTTTGCGCGCATAGCTGCACGCGGCCATAGCTGTCGTCAACGGCGCTTCTGGCAGTCTGTTGGTGCCACGTGTCGTGGGCCCGTTGGTCGGCTGACGGCGGCTTTCATCTTCCCTGAACGTCGGGTCCTGTTACACCTTCTCCCCCCCTCGCCCCCCTCCCCCCCCCCCTCCTCTCGAGCTCTCGATGAGGAGAAGGATCACTGTGCAGGGGGAAGGTTCCCTCTGTGGTTGAAGATTGTTTTGCCAACTCTCTTGCCGTGACTGTGTGGAAGAAGCTCTCTCTCGCTGGCGTGGAAGGTAGGCTCTCGCCATAGCCGTATCCGTTGATCAGCTCCCAAGGACGTGAAGTATCAGAGTGGAATAAGACATCTTGCCACGGTTTGAATGATAACCTTACGCCATATCCGTTGCTCAATCGAAGCGCACATCGCTGTCCTACTCCATCCCCTGCACGGCCTCCCGCCAAATCCATAATCCATAACTCAATCAACGTGCACCTCACCGTGTTCCTTCTTTTTGAAGCACTTCCCTCTACCCTGCCCATCTCTTTGTTCATTTGCAGATCCCTCCGTTCCCTACGTTTGACACATCATCGATCGGTCGACGGACAATTCCCTACTTGCTTGTGACACGTGTCCTCGCCGACTTGTCAGTTTTCACCTCTTGTCTGTCGGTGACACGTGTCCTCTATCTACCTCTTGTTTCGATCTCATCATTATCTGTGGAAGAGTCTTCCCGTGTGTTGGCGGGAGTGTCAAGTCCAAAAAAGAGTCTACCTGTGTTTTGGCGGGAGTCTCAACTCAAAAAAAGGGTCTCCCCGTGTTTTGGCGGGAGTTCCAACTCCAAAAAAGAAAAGAGTCTACCCGTGTGTTGGCTGGAGTTTCACCCTTGGCGGGAGCCTCACTGGAGGTAAAAGGGCCGAGGAAGAACGACGGTCACAGCAGCGACGGTGCTGTGTGTGTTTGCTCGAATCTTCTCTCTCTCTCTCTCTCTCTGTCTCTCTCTCTCTCTCTCTCTCTCTCTCTCTCTCTCTCTCTCTCTCTCTCCCATGTTTTCACCCTCCTTAGCTGATCTACTTCTCGGGCGCCTCCTTTAAGCTGATTTAGACCGTACTCGCAGTTGCACTTTGTCGGGAACCTGGCCGCGATTGTGGTCAGATGCATTGCAATATTCAGACTTGCACTTTTCCCTCAGAATATTCCGGCAATTGTGGTCAGATACGTTCGAAGCTTATTTCATGGTTCGTCCCTCCTTGCGTGGTGTGTTTCTCTGCCGCCGCCTATGTTTCTAGGACCGTATTCACACACATGCTTTTCTTCCTCAGAATACGGCTGCAAAACATGGTCAGATACATTCCGAATAGTTCGAGTGTGAATATGCTCCTGTTCAATCTGCTTCTTGCCACCGTCTCTGTCTATCTTCTCATTCGCTCCTCGTCGTTTTCCTATGTAATTTTTGCTCTCTCATTGCTCGTTTTTTTTCCCTTTTTTTAAAAATTCCTCTTAAAAAAAAAAAAATCTCACCGTCTCTCTGGACTCGAGGAAGCACGGGAAGCACAGGCAGCACCGTAATGTTTTCCTTTTTTTTTTTTTTTTTTTTGGGTTKCATACATAAACTTTACAGTTGCTCCCTTTTCCTTTTCTTTTTTTTCCTTTTTTCTTTTTTCTTTTTTCTCTTACTTCACTATTTGATTATTAGGGAGGGTGATATATTCATCGGAGACGAGGGCATCGAGGAAGCACGGGAAGAACAGTCTCTTTTTCATACCTAGGTCTTGTTCCTCCTTTTTCCCGGTTTCCCCCCCTCCTCCCTGGACTTTTTATTATTACCGTGGAAAATTTCCCGGAGAGAAGGGGATCTAGGAATCCCGGAATCGCCGTCTGTCTTTTTTTTTTTTTTTTTTTTTTTTTTTGGGCTATCGTAATGAAACAAACAGTGAAGGTGTTGAACGAAGAACGTGAGGCAGTCCTTCGGGACATCCATTAAATTTGGAACGATACAGAGAAGGAATTTTTTATTTTTTTTTAGAGAGAAGGAATATTAGCATGGGCCCAAGGATGACACTCATAAATCGATTAAAAAAGGGGAAAAAAAAAGAGTGAGTGAGAAAGGGTGGAAGATGTGGGGGCAGCGAGGAGTACTGAAGGAGGGAAACGCGGGTTCGACTAAGGGTATACTCACACTAGGACTCTTTTTTATGTTTCTGACGGAATTGCAGCCAGATTCATCCACGTCTGGCTGTAAATGCGGTCAGATACATTTACAATGGTGCTAGTGTGAGTACGGCCTAAGTCATTTGCAAGGGCCTCGCCGCACCACTCGTCGAATGTGAAAATGAGAAACTACGGCGGGTGCATCTTTCCGCATTCTTCCAGAAGATGCATTCTTCATTTTGCCATTTTGTTGAGTTGTGCGCGGAGGAGCCCCGAAGCTTCGTTCTTGTCTTGAGGCGTTTGGCGAACATTCAGTTCAGATCGGAGCATCTCTTTCCTGTTTTTTTTTGTTTTTTTTTTTTCCTTCTCTTTTGTAAATTCAGATTGTAAAAAAAAAAAAAAAAAAAAGCTCAGGATGAAAACGGGAGAGCGGAGCATCTCTTTCCTGTTTTTTTGTTTTTTGTTTTTTGTTTTTTTTCCCTTCTCTTTTGTAAAGTCAGATTGTAAAAAATAAAAATGAAAAAATCTGCTCAGGATGAAAACGGAAGAGCGGAGCATCTGTTTCCTGTTTTTTTCCCTTCTCTTTTGTAAATTGAGATCGTAAAAAAAAAAAAAAAAAAAAAAAAATCTGCTCAGGATGAAAACGGAAGAGAGCGCGTATGCTTGTATAGTGTGGATGGTGCCGGACCTTGGGCGTGGCCGCACGGCACACGAAACGAAAAACGAAACGACTGCATCTTCCCGCAGAAAATGGCCAGGTTCATCCGTTTGCTATAAATAGTAACGAGTGTATGTTGCCACCTTCCGTGCGCAGATGCACTCGTTTCGTTTTCGTTTCGTGCGCCGTGGGCCGAGGCCCTTTGTATGGGGTAGGGGTGTATGGGAGTTTGTGGGGAATTGTGGGGTGGGGGTGTGGGGGGTTCGTGGGATGGGTGTGTGTGGGGGAGGGAGGTTTATGGGGTGGGTGTCAGTGAGCACATGAAGTGTATGGTTCCTACCATAGATTAATGACCCAGTCTTTGAATGGGGTAGGGGTGTGTGGGGGGTTGTGGGTTGGTTGTGTGCGGGGGTCTGTGGGTTGGGTGTGAGTGGGGGTCTGTGGGGTGGCTGTGAGTGGGGGTCTGTGGGGTGGGTGTGATCCGCTTGAAAGGGGCCAGTGCGCAAATGAAGTGTATGGTTCCTACCATAGATCAATGGCCCATCCCTCGCAATCGCTTCTGAAGGAGGCAGTGTGAGCAAACGAAGATGTTATGCCGTCTCTGTACTGTTACAGTTAAGCACAGTAGCCTCTGCATATAAGATCGACAGCATACGGGAAATTGAAAATAAATGGCACAATCGAGATCATGTGAGGGCGCGTGCGCGCGCGCACTAAGCACTCGTACACGGAGAGAGAGAGAGAGAGAGAGAGAGAGAGAGAGAGAGAGAGAGAGAGAGAGAGAGAGAGAGAGAGAGAGTAGGCGATATGCATCAGCAACTGGTGTGACACATTGTCGTATCAGGAACCGGTGTGGCACTTCCTCGATGTCCCTGGTTATGTGAGTGCCCATCGACCTAGTCTTCTTCCCCTCTACGGTAATGGATAAGTGTGTGTGTGTGTGTGTGTGTGTGTGTGTGTGTGTGTGTGTGTGTGTGTGTGTGTGTGTGTGTGTG